GGCTCTGTGGACCTGCAGGACGGCTTCTACCAGTTCCGCCACCCGGCCTGGGGTTCCTGGATGTGCTTCGACATCGAGATGGACGCTGGCGAGCTGGGGGTGACCCAGCTCTACGACGAGGAGCTCGGCCGCTGCGTCGACATCAGCCCCGACTCCCGTGTCTGGCCCTGCTTCGAGGCCTTGCCCATGGGATGGTCATGGGCCTTGTGGATTTGCCAAGAGGTCTTGATCGACACCATGGACACCGTCTTCGGGGACAGGGACTCCTGGTGCCTGGACAAGGGCAAGCCGCCCTCCTTGCTGAACGGGGGGGCTGCTCATGCGCCCTACGTCGACAACGCTAACCTCATCTCCTTGGACGCCGGCGAGCTCGACCAGCGCCTCGGCGCCGCGACGGACGAGCTGGACAAGAGGGGGCTCCGCTGGCACGAGTTGCAGTACGCCACCTCGTCGCAGGGCATCCTCGGCCTCGAGTTCGATGGCCCGCACGGCCGCCTTCGTCACACGTCACGGCGCGCATGGCGCCTGTACCTTGGCCTACACGAGGTTTTACGCAGGCCAAGGCTCGCACGCTGGCAGGTCAGGAGGCTGCTCGGACACATCGTGCACTACTTCAGCATCATGCGGCCCGCCCTCAGCGTACTGGGCGAGTCCTACGCCTACCTCGAGTCAGGCCCTATGGAGGGCGTCTCCCGCCTGCCGTCCAACGTGCTGACGGAGCTCCGCTGTGCTGCTGGCCTCGTTTCTCGGCCAAGTGGACCTGCGCCGACCCCCTGCGCCGGTGTCCTACACCAGCGACAGTTCGATGCTGGGGTGCGCCGTCTGCGAGGCCGAGCTCTTCGGACACGAGGTCCTCGGCGTGTCGCGGCGGCGCGAGAGGCAGCGCTTCAGCGAGGTCGAGGCCGCGGGCGACCCCGACAGGGACGCCTACCTGGGCCTCGCCGCGGGGCTGGCCGACGTCTCCGACCTGTACTACGACGAGCTCGGCGCCGCCGATGCGGGACGCCCCCGCAGGCAGGCGCGTGCCCGCCGCCGGCGCCAGGAGATGGAGGTGGGCCGCCCCCCGCCCGGTCTGCCTCCCGAGCTGATCGACCCGCGGCGGTGGGCCGAGGCCTTCCGCGGCGCGCGGCGCCATCCCGGCCGCGCCCACAGCCTGGAGGCCCGCGCCTCGGTGATCGGGCTGGGCGCAGCCGCGCGCCAGGTCAACTGCCGCGGGGCCGAGCTGCTGAGCCTCTCGGACAACTTGTCCAGCGTCTTGTCGTTCGAGAACGCCCGCGCCAGCAATCGAGAGCTCCTAGCACAATGTCGTCGGGCCAGCGCCCTGCAGCTAGGCGGCGAGATCACGTGGCGGGTGCGTCACGTTCCAGGATGCGTGAACGTTGCTGACTGGGGGAGCCGAGCCGCGGACCGCTGTGAACTTCCACCTGGCTGGATCCGCGGGGTCGGCTTCAGAGTCTGCCCGCCAGCGCCCAGCCGGTGCGCTCCTGTCGCGAGGGCCAGCGGCAGCCCTCCATGCCTCGGGCCTGTGGAGCCCGAGCCCCTCATCACCAGCGTTGCCTTCGCGACTCGGCCGTCGCCGAGCCGCGTCTCCAGGCCGCCAGGGCTTGGAGAGAAACCTATTGGTTGCACGGGACAGTGGAGCGAGGACCTCGCACGAGGGATCATCCTCTCTACCATCCCAGCTGAGTCTGTTCTCCCATCCTGTCCTCCCCCTCCTCCATCATGCTCCACCTCATCGAGATCACGTATAGGTTTTTGTTCACAGATTGAGTCGTCAAGCTCTTCAGCGGGTCACTCGCCTCAGACTGGGTCTCCAGGTACATCGGCTTATCAGCGACCCCAGGCTGGGCCCTCAGCTTCCTCGGCTTCTTGGGCGTCACGGGTCAGGCCATCAGCATCATCGGCGAGTCGAGGTCCCCAGGCTGGGTCATCAAGCTCTTCGGCTCCTCCTCGGGCACGCAGTGGGCCTCGTCAATGGCGCTCCTCAGGGTCTTCGTCTCAGGCCCCGCGGGGCCAGCGGCCAGGCCGTGCCAGCTTCTTGGAGCGATTTGCTGGAGGTGCAAACTTGTCAGGGGCCTTCCACGAGGCCGGGTTTCGCATCGCCTGCCCTCTGGACATCGCAAACGGCAAGCATCATGACCTCACTCATCCTGACGTCCGTAACGCTGTCTTGGCTTGGATTGCTCAGCGCCGCTTTTGGTGCATACACATTGGCCTTCCGTGTGCCCACTGGGCGCCGGCTGGAGGCAACCGGCCTCCACGCCCGGCAGACCTCGCTCTCGTCAGCTTCGCCGTGCGGGTGCTCAAGCTCTGCAGGAAGCTGAACATCTTCGTCCTCCCGGAGAACCCTGGCCCCAGCCGAGTCTGGCGCTGGGCGCCCCTGGAGAGGGAGCTCCGCCACCGCAAGCCAGGCAAGGTCGTCTACGACTCCTGCCGCTTCGGGGCCCCCTTCAAGAAGCCAGGGGCGGTCGCCGGCACGCTGCCGAACCTAGAGCTGCTGGGCCGCCGGTGCCAGCGCTGCCAACCACGCCGTGAAGTTCTTCAGGGCGAAGTTCGCCATCCGACGAGAGGGTGGGTTTGGCGGACTACCTTGGCTGGCGCGCACCTCCCAGAGTGGTGCCGAGAGCTTGTGCGCATCGCCTCGCTCTCCGCCCCGGAGTCCGCCTATGGCCGAGCCACGCCGGGAGACCTCGCGATTTGGGATGGCGTCCTGGCAGCCGCGTCGGGCGAGGTCCGCCGCCGCGCCCCCGGCGCCCCGCTCTGCCCGCGGAGGTTCAGGCCCCCTTGGCGAGCCGCCTGAGCCTCCGCGCTCGACCCGCGCCCCCGCCCCTCGGGCGGCCGGCGTGCCCCGCAGCGCTGCCCCGCCCCCAGGCGGGGGCCAAGCGCGGGGCCGCCGGGCACGGGCAGCGGAGCGCCGAAGCGGGCGGCGGCGGCAGTGGATCGCGCCGAGCAACAGCGACAAGCCCGCCGAGTGCCACCTGGCGATTTCTTGGGGACGGCTTCGTTGCGACCGGCGACTCTGACAAAGTATCAGCAAGCCGTCGCCGACTTTGAGGCCTGGGCTCGTCGCCAGCGTCATCTCTTTGGCAAGCCAGAGAATGCCGACACGTCGATGAACTTGTACATCGAGCACCTTTTCTTCTCTGGATCTCCTCAGTACATGGCACGTAACGCTCTCTACGGACTTGCTCGTCTCAGAGGATGGGCTGTGGCCGTGCCTCACTTTGTGCGCTCAAAAGATGCCCTGGCGGGCTGGTCTGCCAAGTTGCCACGGCATCCCAGGATGCCGGCCCCCTTCGACGCGGTGATCGTCTGCATGGGAGCCCTCGCGGAGCGCTCCACGTTGGGGGCCCTCGCCGCCGTGGCCATGACAGTCCAGTTCGACCTGTGCCTGCGCCCCAGCGAAGTGCTCGCCGTCACCGCTGGCGATGTCCACGGCAGCGCTGGCGGCCAAGTCTCGATCATCATCGCGCCTCTCACGGGCGGTGTGCCGTCCAAGACAAATTAGTTTGACCGCGCTGTCGTCGTTGGCACGCCTGTCCCTCTCAGACGACATGTGCCCGCAGCGCTGCTCGCCCTGCGCAAGGGCCGCGCAGACGCCGCCAAGCTTTTTGCCCCTCTGAATCTCAGTGCATACGAGAGGCTCGTGCGAAGCGCTGCCTCCGCCCAAGGTATGTGCCACGTCTTCTCCGTGCCTCGTCAGCTTCGGCACGGGGGCCCCTCGCATGACGCTCTAGAGCAGTTGCGTAGTCTTGATCAGATCCAGCAGCGTGGGAGATGGCGCGCACGAGAGTCCGTGCGCGTCTATGAGAAGCACGGCTCGCTCTTGCGACAACGAGCCGCCGTGCCTGCCGCCGCCCGCCAACGGGCCGCCCGTTTTCCGGCGGCGGATCTTCGGCACCTCGTTTCTCGCGCCGCCTGCTCGAATCGTGTGCCGAGCTGATCTCTCTTTCTTCTTTTTCCTTCCCAGCCCGCCCACCCAATGACAACTGAATTGGGGGTGGGAGCCGATGCTATGCAGTCAGATTTGGTGATTTGATCCGGGCCCGGGTCGTTTTCCATTGCTGCCAAGCAAGCTCAGCATTATATAGTCTCAAGTGCACCTCGTCCTGAGTAAGGACGCGTCCTCGTGAAAAAGGAGATCGTCCGTCTCATGCATGTTGAATGGTGGCCGCGCCTAGCTCGAGGAATGATTATATTTGGATGCAGTTTTCCTCCGCGTCGAGCGGCCAAGCGAGAGGGGCTACGCCCCGTCCGTCTCCTCTCCTCTGCTCTCGTGCTGCTGCTCTCTCCCCCTCTCGCGGCCATTCTGGTTTCAAGGCTTCCCTCCCTGCCCTCCCTGGGAGCCGATGCTATGCAGTCAGATTTGGTGATTTGATCCGGGCCCGGGTCGTTTTCCATTGCTGCCAAGCAAGCTCAGCATTATATAGTCTCAAGTGCACCTCGTCCTGAGTAAGGACGCGTCCTCGTGAAAAAGGAGATCGTCCGTCTCATGCATGTTGAATGGTGGCCGCGCCTAGCTCGAGGAATGATCTATGGATATGTTCGATTACCGTCGTGCTGTGCAATGCGTCGAAGGCAGGCTCGGGCCCTCAGCAGGAGGTCGGCCGCCCTGATAACGTTCCTCGGCTGGTCGGCCTCATTGCTCTCCCCTTCCTCCCTCCATCCGCCCTCCTGCCCCTGCTCCTCATCATACATCCTCTGCCTCCTCCTCTCTCCCTTTCCACCGCCTCCATCACCCCCCTTCCGATTGTTCAATGTGGCGACCCAAAACCGGTCGACGCTGCACGACTGGAGGTTTCAGGACCCGTCCCCTTTCTCTGCCCCCCCCGTGCCTCTCCACCTCCGTGCCTCTCTGGCCCCCCACCATCGCGAAGCAGACGTGGCCTCCGAGGACCCCTCCCCCTTCTCTGCCTCGTGCTTCTCCACCCCCGTGCCTCTCTGGCCCCCCCCCTTGCCTTTGGCCCCCGTATCTTTCCGCCCCCGCCCAGCGCGCGGAGGCGGACATGGAGAAGCTGGCGCCGAAGTCGCCCTTCGGCGCCGAAGGCCTGCACGGCCACGCCGTCGTCCCCGTCGGGGACGCCCACGGGAGGACTCGGGGGCGTCTGGACACCATGACCGGGGCCATACGATCTCTTCGACGCCATGCCCACGTCGTCTGTCCATTATGTGTATTAATATCAGTTGTATGATCGTGGTGTTACTAGCCGTAGTATTACGATTGTTCGGTGATGTTCAGTATAAGTCTCTCGTGTTGCATCATGTAGCGGCATTCGTACTTAACCCAAGAGTGAGAGTTTTCGCCGTCTCCGCATGATTATTATGTTTTGTGGGTTGGTTAATGTTGTTATGATTGGGATTGTTCGTGTCATGTGTCTTGCTGGTAAGCTTGCTTATTTTTATTATCACTCTTCTTCTCCTTCTGATTATCCCTCGTCTTTCAATGCGTTCCCTGGACCCCCCTTCGTCCACCCACACGTTTTGAGCCGTGATGCGGTAACCTTCTTCCCGACCCCCCTCGTCGGCGCATTCCGACCTCCGGAGCGGATCATGTTTTGCTCGCCCTGATCGGATGTTGCTAGAAGTGCCCCTGGCCCAAGGTGCCCCCAGCTTTTTGCTCCAGGTTGGAGCCCCTGGGGTCCTCTGGGCCTCGTGAGGGGTGCCCTGGAGGCCGCCTGGGCCACCCCCGAGAATCCTGGGGGTACCTTGGGCCAGGGGTACTTCTAGCAACACCCGACCTGAAGGAAGCGGGTCTTGGAAGCTTTCTACGTTTGCGGGCCGTGGTACGCCGCCTCCCCGGACCGAGCCTCTGGGATGCAGGACCAGTTTCCCCCAGGATCCGTTCCTTTCATGCCAATCGTTGGTGCAAGGCGGGTCCCCCTTGGTCGAAGAAGGTTTCGTGGCACAAGTCTAAGATGCCAGAGGTCCGCGTGTATTTGTTTGGGCCCGCGCTGGGTCTTTATTTGCGCGCGAAGAGCGGCAGGGGCGGCGCAGGAGGCGCCGCCAGTGGGGGGTTCATCGCCGAACAAAGAGAAATGTGCTCCGACCTCTTAAACGAGGCCCGTCGCCAGCTCCTGAGGATCGAGGTTGAAGGGTCGAGGAGGTTTGTGGCGTTTGGAGAGGGCTCGAGGGGAATTATTGGGTCGTGGGGGGTCCTTCTTATCGAGGGGGTGCGACCACCTTGGTGGTGACCCCCACTGGAATTGCCTGGGTTTGGGGGGAGTCATGTGGCGTCGTTAGAAGATCGTGGCGGCTGTGTCTTTCAGGGTGGATGCCTCGAGGCCCGTTGTGGGCCTTGGGGGCACAGGAGAGCTGTCTGGGATGAAAGACGAGTTCTCCAGATGTTCGGCAAGTCGGAGGGGGGGCACGTCAGGCCAAGTACCAGTATGCTGGATGTGCAGGAGAGAGAGAGAGAGAGAGAAACAAAAAAAAAGAGACAGGGAGAGAGAGAGAGAGAGAGAGAGAGGGAGAGAGAGAGTGTGTGTGTGTAGAAGGACGAGGCGGAGGAAGGGGTTAGAGAACGGTAGGAGAACGAGGAAGCATTCGTAGGTTGAGGGGTATCATCCCCGGGAGATTCTCGGTGTTTCTGGAGGGCGTGGATGATGATGATGATGATGATGATGATGATGATGATGATGATGATGATGATGATGATGATGATGATGATGATGATGATGATTCTGATTATGATTATGATGATGACGATGATGATGATGCTGATGCTGATGCTGATGATGATGATGACGATGATGAAGATGATGATGATGATGATGGTGGTGGTGATGATGCTGATGCTGATGCTGATGCTGATGCTGATGCTGATGCTGATGATGATGATGATGATGATGATGATGATGATGCTGATGATGATGATGATGATGATGATGAGGATGAGGATGAGGATGAGGATGAGGATGAGGATGAGGATGATGATGAGGATTATCAGGAGGAGGAGGAGTAGAATGGTCAGGTTGCCCAGGTCGAACGAGTCTGCGGGCCCCGCCCAGGCCCACCCTCCTCCCAGAACAGTATTCAAGCGTGGCACAGCTTGATCTCAGGGTTGGAACGGGCTCCCACTCGTCGAGGAGGAGACACCCCCGCGCGGTCCCGCCTTCGACGATTTGGCGAAGGGGCAGCTGCGCTGGCCGCGTAGAGGCGGAAGCGGAAGTTCAGGAAATCGTTTCGCGGCGTTGCGGTTGGAGCACCATTTATCCCTCTCTCGGGCGGCCAAATCTCCGATGACTGTGGCGCAGGCGAATCTACCGCCGCTCCCAGACAGCACTGCCACTTTCACGCACACATTGCGCGGCGCTCGGGCGAAGACAGCATGTCGCCCACTCTCGCGCAGCACCGCTGTCGCTGCAGCTCTCATGCGATTTGGCGAATTGCACACGCCCCGCGCCCACGCGGGAATGCCACTTCCAAGTGACATGTGCACGGAGCTTGGACGAGGGCGACAATCCGCCCGTTCGCGCGGGGCCTCAATACTTGGCGGGTGAACTTGGCCACGAAGCGGATCAGGGGTGCGCTAAAAGGGACAGGTGGCGGCATGTGAAAACAGCCATTGGGGCCTTGGGTTTGAGCCTTCATGGGGTCACGGGACGTGTAAGGGGTGTGCCAAAATGGACAGGTGGCGGCATGTGAATGCAGCCATTGGGGCCTTGGGTTTGAGCTCCCTGTGTGGCCGCGAAACGTGAGGGGCGTGCCAAAGTGGACAGGAGGCGGCATGCGAACGTAGCCAATGGAGCCCTGGGTTTGAGCTCCCTATGGTGCCACCAAGCGTGTGACGGGCGTGCCAAAGTGGACAGGTAGCGGCATGTGAGAACAACCATTGGGGTCTCGGGTTTGAGCTCCCTATGGGGCCACGAAACGTGTGAGCAGTGTGCCAAAGTGGACAGGTGGCGGCATGTGAGCGCAGCCGCTGGGGCATTGGGTTTGAGCTCCCTATGAGGCCACGCTCCGTGTGAGGGGTGTGCCAAAGTGGACAGGTGGCGTCATGTGAACGTAGCCATTGGGGCCTTGGGTTTGAGCTCCCTATGTGGCGACGAAACGTGAGGGGCGTGCCAAAGTGGACAGGTAGCGGCATGTGAGCGCAGCCGCTGGGGCATTGGGTTTGAGCACCCTACGGTGCCACCGAGCGTGTGAGGGGTGTGCCAAAGCGGACAGGAGGCGTCATGTGAACAGCCACTGGAGTCTCGGGTTGAAGCCCCCTATGAGGCCACGCGCCGTGTGAGTGAAAGTGACGTGAAAAGTCCTGGCTCCGAAGAGGCCCCGCGTGTGGCAGGACGCTGAAAAATGCATCAGTGCCGTCATCCTTCGATGAACCGTTCGAAAAGCTCTGCGTGCGAAGCCCACTCACTGCGGTCCTCCGCTGCGCGGGCCCACTGCCGCAGCCCCGCCTGCGTCGCATACCGTCGTAATGTGTCCTCCCATTTCATCCTGCGCCGTCTGGATGGCCGCTTCTCCCGGGCGCTTTCATTCCGCATGGCATCTGTCCAGCCACTGTCTCTCCAGAAGGTCGTGCGCCATGCCCACGACGATGCCGGCATCCTGGCCACATGCCCTGCCCAAAGCCACTTCTGTCTCGCCTGCGCTTGCACCCACTCCCGTATGCCAGCGCGATCGGCCAGCACCCTGCAATTGTGCGTCGTGCGAATGATCCACTCGTGCCACGCCTCGTCCGGTGCTCGCCAGAAGCCGCATATACGGCGCAACATTTTGTTCTGGGTGGACTTCAACGCATTGTATGCTGCAGCTCTCGGCGTCCAGGAACAAGCCCCGTAGAGTATGCAGCCCCCAACACAACAGTCGAACAGCTTCAGCCGCTTGAAGACAGAAACATTTTGGTTCAAGATAAGGGGTTTCATCGCCCCGAACTTCCTCCATGCGATACCTGTCCTGTGCTCGATTTCCGCCCCGGTGATGTCAGACAGCGATAACGCAGTCCCCAAAACCTCCAGATTGTCACCTTCTGGCAGCACGTTGACAGAGAAACCTTCATCTAGGAAAACGTCTCCTCGCACGACGCCACCTATGCGGTTTGTCTGCACCTTGCACTTCGTTGGATGTAGTCTCAGCCCCCGCTTCGCCAGGGCTTCCCGGAGCATAAGCACCATGCGCTTCAGCGAGAGCCACGATCTGGCCAGTAACGTTGTGTCGTCGGCAAAGACGACGTGCGTGAGACAAATGCCCTGCACTGACTGTCCAACCAAGGTGCCGTACTTGCGCCGCTGCCAGACCACCTCCACCTCGCGGAGCAGGCTCGCCATCACCAGGTTGAACAGCACCGGTGATAAGGGGTCTCCTTGTCGTACCCCTCTCTGCACCTCGAACCGTCTGCTTTCGACCCCAGAGGCCAGCTTCACGTACACGGTCATCCTTCTGTACAGTTTTCGCAAGACGCGCACCAAGCAGATGTCCACCCACGCGCTGGTCAGGGCTGCGAAAAGCTGGTCGCGGGAGACTCTGTCGAAAGCCTTCTCAACGTCCAGCGCAGCTACCCAGAGCTCCTCCCCCCACTCGGCCGACTTCTCTGCGACCAACCGAAGAACGTGTAGAGCGTCGTCACAACCTCTGCCTCTGCGAAAGCCGTACTGCTCCTCTGTGAAGTAAGCCTCAATGGACTCCTGCAGACGCATATGTAAAACGATGCTGAAGAGCTTCGCCATCACTTGGATAATCGATATTGGTCTGTAGGTTGCCACATTTCTCCTGTCACCTTTTTTGAAAATGACCGATAAACGCGCTGTCTTCCAATCCGCAGACGGGTCCATCGGTCCGAGTCCGCCAAAGCGCAAATCAATCCTTCATGTCCTGTTCGCATCATCTCGGTAACTAAACCGTCTGCTGCCTCTGTTCGCCCATTCTTGATACGCTTGAGAGCGGTGGATACTTCGTCGCAAGAGACTGGCGGCACCAGGTGTGGCATATGCTGTTCCTCTGGACGTACTTCGTCGCCGGATCCGTCCACGCTGTACAGGTCTTCGTAGAAACGAGCAAATGCTTCGGCGATGTCCTCGTCCTGCGTGACCCGGTCGGTCGCCCCA